CTCTGTCGAAATCTTGACTTCGATTGGCTGGACTTTATTAAAAGTCCACGAAAACCTTCTTAGGTAGGAATACGTAGGAGAGTTTCTCCGCCGGTATTCCTTCTTTGTAGATGGTGTTATATTAACTTGCGATAAGCCCGTGTAATTCGTCATTAGTGTCTGACTGTAGACTTCTGCTTCTTATCGCGCTTTTGATGTTAGTTTATTTTAGAAGGAGGAACCTAATTCACTTCAGCCTTTTATTTACTGCTTACTATTTTTCTTGGAATTGTGGCGTTTTCCTTTCTAAGTGAACAGTTAAACATTGTGATTTCAACTGTAACTTCAGCTTAACTGGGTTCAATGCTGAATTATGCTCCCAGATCACTGCCGTTGACGGGTGATCGCTGATATTACCGTTAGGCAGAAAGCTGCCTGAGAGAAAGATAAGTTGAGTGCCTCGGTGATATAGTGAATAACACATGAGTCCTCGGAATCGCTAATCGTCGGCTCTAGGCTCAGGTAAGGGTCCAAGTTTTGCCAATATCTCTTCGGTAAGAAGGACGTAAAAGTGGGAATCTTTTTCAATTTTTGCAGAACTCGTGGTCACGCGATCCTTCTTTCACCTTTAGTATGCAAATTGCATGACTGTTTACATACGATTTGTTTCCTCGCATCTATGTCCAAGAAGGTCTGCGAACTTTTCGGGTGTGAGTTCAGATGCTGTTTAAGGATTTTTGTATTCTTTGTAAATGTCGTTGAACGCTGGTCGAGTCGATTTTCCTTGGAGTCCTAGGATAGCAGTGCTAGGGCGTTTTTACATGGATTAGAGGGAGTGAGCTGTACCCAGACAAGTCTAGTACCGAGCCTCCGACCCGGGAATGATGAGAGGTTTGGTGAGCTTACGTCAGGAACCAGTTCCGTGCTGGTCAGGAAGGACATCAGCTACTATTGTGCCAGTTGCTCCCTGTGTTTTTTCTCATTATTTCACAAGAAGCTCTTAACTTTTCGTTAATTTTTAAGAAACAGTCGGAGGCATAGTTGCAGGCAGTTGTGCCATATTCTCATTATTTAGCAAAACATTCGAGGTAGTTTACGCTCTGAGTCTGTTGCTGTCTATCTTCCTTCGTTTTTTTTTTTTACTCAAATTCGACCATCGTTTGTCCAAATACTGGGCCTGCATTGACTCTAATTTCATTGAAAATCTTTGTAGAAATAAGTTGGAAAATTGTACTACCTGTTGACAATCGTGTCAGATGTTTGAGATGTGTATGCTTTAAGTGTTATTTCTACTCATAACGAATCCCTTCCAATGAAGCAAATCTTTGTGCTAATTATCGACTTGAACCAACTCCTTTCTTTGTAGTTCGTGATGGGAATGATCCATCGGCTTGTCGTATTCCTTGACTTCTGAATACTGAAAAACTGATTATTTCAGTTCGCTCTGGTGGTAGGAGGATGGCCGTGCAGTCGTTCGACCATGTTCTCACTTCGGCACGACGACGTGCTATCGTGCGCGACGTGCTAGCCACCAATGAGCTCGTTCGTTATGTCAGAGTATAGGTTTCCATTACTGGTAACGATACGACAACATAACATTGTTATTATTAGTGATATTAGCCTTACTGTGTATTAAAATAGCCTTTAGCGCTGTTATCATTAATTATCTCAACTATTTATTTATTGTTTCTATTTTGTACCAATTATTATCCCTGGTCTTAAATCTGAAACGCATTAGTCTTCGAGGTGAGGCCCTCTCTCTTCTTTTACGGTTTTTCGCGAAGGGTTCGATAGCTATGGGTAACTGACTAGGCTCTGCATTAGGCATCGAATACAATCATTGGAGTTTGTGTTGTCCTGGATTAAGAAGTAGAACTTTTTTCTTTGAGGCGACATCGGGTCGTAATGCATGAGTCAATCCAGCCAAGAATTATCGTCCATTTTTATTTTTACCTCTATTATTATTATTGATGCTATTCCTTATTTTACCTTAATAAGGCGCAAACTGAGGTTAATTGAAAGACATTGACGAGTGAGTTGTTTTCAAGATTCTTTGATTTCATTGCTTATTTTTAGCACTATCCGTTTACAGTTCCCACGTTTTCCTTCGTGGCTCAATCCGTTTCGAACGGCCCATTGCAATGCCGAGTTAGCTTTAGCTGCACGAAGTAAGTTTTGTTAATGGTACAAGCAAATCAATTGTTGTTATATTTTCTTGGGTGGTTTTGTGATTTTTGAAGGTTTCACGACTCACGACAACTCATGTTCAATTGATAAGCACTTCTGTAATCGATTTAGTTACCTCTTAAACAAATAATGATTGCATAATGCATAATACTATTGTTAATGACAAGTGATGACAGTAAGAAATAATAGTGAATAATAATAACAAAGAGTAGTGACAGCAAATAGTATTACATAGTAATGCCAACAGTAAATACTTACTTGGATACTTGGATGGCTTATCTTCACTGGTGCTGTGGTTCTGCTTGCAATTTTTAACAATTCGAGCTGAGGTGTTCCCACTTGGAATGGAGGAAGGTGTTGGGTAGAGGGTCAAACCAGTACCTTTGCTTCCTGGTCGATGGCATCACTAACCACTGCGCTATCTCCACCCAATGATAATATCAACAATAATAGTTAATAACAGTGATAGTAGCAATAACAGTAGTAATGGTATTAACGGTTATATACAAAGGAGCATGCAGCGTGCTGGTGATCATGTCATTCATCATGGGGCACGGTGCTGTTGCGATCCCGCGAAGGGCTAACCAATTCTCTCATATCTCCCGGGTCGGAAAGTTGGTTTAAGGCTTGTCTGGGAACAGTTATCTCCATCTAATCGATGTAGAAACGCCTTAGCATGGCAATTCGGAGACTCCAGTGAAACTGTCTCTTCCAGCATTCAACGACATTCACAAAGAATACAGCAATCCGCAAGCAGCAGCCGAAATCATGCGAAAAGTTTGCAAACATTCTTGGATATGGGATGCGATATGACGACTCGTCAACCATATGCGACTATAATCAGCTTCCTGAGGCAATGGTGCAGTTGAAGGTAGTTTCAATCTCGGTTCGTCTTCCGAAACTTTTCTTACACAGGAACTTGTGGAGATGCTTGAATAAATAGTGGCTTAGAGAGAGGTCTGGGGAGTATGATGAAGGAAGCAGAGTCAGCGCCTCACCGATTGCTCTCCATGGGAAGGGTTAGCGCCTCTGTACTCAGCAGTGAGGGGCGCAGCCGTTGAATTTTCTCGTGCATTCTGTTCATTTGCTGAGCGATGTCCTTCAAAGTAATCATTCCTGTCGGATTCAGGAAAATATGATGGATGAAACCAGCCGTAGATTATCAGACTTTGTCGGCTTTGGGAAGTGCTGCGAAGCTTCAATCCGCAGCATCTCCCAAAAAAGGCAACACCCTTGATTGGCGTTCAATTCGTGCGGACGCCATTTCTTGAGCTTCTTCGACCTTCCGATATTTTTCAAACCATGCGTCCAAACAGTTGCACATCTATTTGCTTACAGTGAAGCCTTGAATTCATTGCCGTGAGTAGCAGAAAGTGCACAACTTTCCTCACCTTTAAAATCTAATTCGCCACGAGGACATTTCCGAAACCAAAATTTCACTGTGTTCGTTAAGATTTGGTGCCTCCCTTCCTCATTGAGGTTTCGAGTCCTTCGGCTGCATCACCTTCGAATTTCAATTCGTAGACGTAGATTTATCGAAATTTCTTTTTGGCATCTGAAATTCTAACCATTAAGATTCGGCAACAGCATAATTTATACTAAAATTCAATTTATGGAGTGGAAGTGGGTAAAATTAGTTTTGCATTAATATACAGTTTACATTTGTTTTACATGACCATCATCACATCTGTGCGGATCCTAGCACTTCTCGCGCTCGATTTGTTTTCTTCGCATTTATCGTGCACGAAGCTCTTCGGAAATTTCACTTGTTGCTTCGGCTTCTGCTTGAGGATTCCGTATTCTTTATGGATGTCGTAAAATACTGGCAGAGTCGGTTCTCCTTGCAATCTTAGGAACAGCCGAGATAAGGCGTTCCCACGTGGATTGGAGGAGAGCGTTAGGGACAGAATCGAACCAGCACCCTGCTTCCTGATTGACTGCATCACTAACAGCTATGCTTCTTCTCTCCAATGATTTATAATAGTACGTAATTTAAAAGAAAAAGCTGTTGATAAAACATGGACAAGAAAAATGAAACTGCAAATTGGACCTTAGTTTCCGCGCAACCTTATAGTTGATGTGACCATACTGCAGAGAATGTTCATTAAGAATAGATCAGTAAGAAATATAACACACTTTCGGTGATTGCCAATTAGATTGAAGGTAAACCACAATGGAAAATACTGAAACACTTTTAACAGAAGTTATGTCAAAATTCCCTTGCTGTATAATGAAGAGTGTAGCTTGCAAATATGAAGTTTTTTGAGGTATAAGGGTTTTCAAAACTTATTAAGTTTCGGAGGGCGCGTGTGGCGCACTGGTTGGAAAAGCACTGCGACACACACGTGGAATCGATCCCCGCGCCCATAGCCCACCATGCCTTCCATCCCTCCGGAGTCGGCAAATTAGTACCAGAGTTATCTGGGAGGATAGCAGCACTGGCTCGATACATCGGTGGGCCACCACAAGTCATTGTAAAGGCCATATATGCATCCAAATTCGATCACCTCCAATGATAGTTAATGAAGTCGAATGCATGGCGCATCCCTCAGGAGTTGACCAACGCCGAAAACGTTATCCTTTATTCTACTTTATTAAGTTTCAGACAACTTATCAATTTTTAGTGCTTGGCTAATAGTTCTTGCGATATTTCTTTTCTTTATGAATTAGCAGTTTTCTCACCTGAATGCTTAAATAATGTAAAGAGGAAAACATGATATGAAGTTTTTGGCTTCCATTATTGCTCCATAGGTGCGATTCCACGTGCAAATCCTGAAACTCTTCGTCCGATCTTCGAAAGGTTTGCGTCTAAGACGAAGGATAATAGGAAATATATGACAGCAGAGGATTTTATAAGAAGGTGAGTTCTTTCCCTTATTTCTCCAATATTTAAGTATTTTTATATTTTTTGAACAATTCGATCAACAAAGTATATAAGAATCGAAGATATTTGATAAATCAGTAAAGAAAATCGAGGACAACTGGGCGATTTCGGATAGAAATGACTTGAACGTCGGCATTATTTGGACTCTTGTCATCATGACTTAGTAAACACTCATTTTCCAACCTTCATGGAAAGAACCGCTCAATGCACGTTTCTTCAAAAACAGCTGAACAATAGACGTAATTTGTCTCTGAAGAAATGAAGGAACTCGAAGGTGTAGTTGAGGGTAAGGAAGCCAAGTAGTATCCACGACATTGGTGCATTCACACCATTTTCTCGATTTTTGCACTCACGTTCGCAACTGTTTAGGCACTCTAAAGTGAATATTTTGTGAAGACGTTTGACGACGGTGAAGGTTGGATACCGCCATATTGCTTATTCATTTCACTTTAATGCACAAGGATGTGTCGATTAATCCATATGTGGAACAAGTTTTTTCAATACGGCTGTGGTTATTGCGTCTATCATTAAGGTACCTTGGATTGTTTACTGAGGAGAACTATAATCGTGAATCAGTACGGTTATTAGCGTCAGCTGCTGACACCACAAAAGATGGAGATATTTCTTTTGAGGAATTCTGTGCTTTTGAAGCTCTTCTTTGCAGGTTCGTTTTCCTAATTCAAAGTGTTTGTTCCAAATTCTGTAATTTCGTCACTTACTACGTTTATCTAATTTTTTTTTTGACTTCAGCCCCGATGCCCTTTATCTGACTGCATTTGAAATTTTCGATCGAAATGCATCCGATTCGATCACTTGTGATGAGTTTGAAGCAGTCATCCGACACACTCAACCGCTTCATGACATGGATTTTGACTTCAATTCCGAGTTTATAAAGAAATATTTTGGCGCGTAAGTTTCTTTTAATTGTATAGTCTTTTTTCGGCATTTTTCACCAACGTGAAAGAGAAACTCTTTGGCTTCTCGTTTTCACATTAGGTGGGACTGGGATGCTTGAATAGTTGGATTGCCCGTCTTCACTGGTGCGGGCCCCAGCATACCTTAATGGCTTAGCTATTGTGGTTCCCTGGTGCGCAGGGGTCAGCCTAGCCAAAGTTTTCCCCAGGTCGTCACCACGAGCAGCCGCAACCACCCTACCGGGGGAACGAATCTCGCCGCTGTACTTGGCAGTCCGGCACTCAAGAACACCTCCCGGCCACGATGAGGCGGCCCTAGGCTCTCGTTATGGATTCGAGGGAGATTTGCTACCATGCGATTAGTTTGATGCCGGGGCGGAGATGGATCCTGGTGTTCGTTTACTCTTAGCTGGGCTTCCCGGTGTAAATGTCAGACTCTTTCTCAACTTGAGAGGACCTGCTGGAGGGTTAACCCCCCGCTGTTAAATCACTGCTCGACAGCCAGCAACAGCCACGACGAGGCGGTAAACCGTTAGGAGGATAAAGTCATTGTTTCTGTAAATGTTTTGAAATCGCAGTCTTTTTGCTACTCTTTAGGGACAAGAAGCGAAGCATTGCATATCATGCTTTTACGCAATTGTTGCACGATTTTTATGAAGAACAAGGAATACAAGCTTTTAAGAGGTAGTGTTAACCTTCATTTGTATAGCTAGTTAACTTAAAATTCTACCTTTCCTAGATATGACGAGGCAGGCGATGGTGCAATCAGTTCACTCGATTTCCAACATATCATGACGACGGTGAAAAAACATCTTTTGACCGATTTCGTCCGAAATAATCTATTAGCTGTTTCTGGTGGTGGCCACAAGGTAAAGTGGTTTTGATCAGTCATAATTATTCATTATGTTGTTTACTTTTACTTTTTTTTTTCCTTTTGAAGAATGGATGGTTTCCATTCAATTCATGGCTTCTACACTGACCTTGTATCAGACATCGCTCCAAAAAGTGTTACCTGTCAAATGCTCGTTAACGCTTAAGATTTAAAAAGAACATCTTCGGAAGAGAACAGCGAGAGATATTAATGTCAAGGGAAACTTTTACCGATGAATAGGGTACAGACATGTCTCCACTGTACTTTAATACTGAGGTTCGATGCTAAGGGATACCTTTTCGCTTTTGACATGCTTAACATAAAGCTCTGGGCGTTGATCAATCGCCCAGGGATGCGCCATGAATTCGAGTTCATTAGGCATCGTTGGAGGTGATTGAATGCATATCTATCCTTTACAATGACTCATGATGGCCTACAGATGTATCGAGCCAATGCTCCTATCCTCCCAGACAAGTCTGGTACTAATTTGCCGATCTCGGAGGGATAGAATGTTTGGTGAGCCATGGGCGATGTGATCGATCCCATGTGTATTGTAGGGCTGCTCCAACTACTGCGCCACAGGCTTCCCTTTGACAAGCATATCTCAATTAAAAATAGATGTTACCGATTGAAATAATACTTGACACTTGACACTTGAACGGTACGTCGTCACTAGTTGTGCAGGCTCCAGCGTAATCACCATTTATCGGAGATTTGCTGGTTAACCCATTGTGGTTCCCTAGAATCCCGAGGTCAACCTGGCAAAAATTTTCCTTGGTCTTCGCCACCACGGGCAGTCGCAGCCCTTGTGGATCAGGGGGAGATTTGCCACCGTGCGTCTTTGATACCAGGGCGGTGGCAGATCCTCGTATTGGTTTACTCTTAGCTAGGCTTCCTAGTGGAAACGCCGGACTCCTCAGTTTGGGAGACCGTGCCAGGAATTGAAATAACAATTGTCGAAATTTAGAGTTCTTCTCAAGGTATAAATTTCCTCATCTTACTAAGAGAGAAGAGGAGTTGCATTTTTTTTTTGGAAATTTGAATTTTAAGTGAATTGGAAACCAAATGAAACTTTAGGAAGGTTACAACATTACAGCGATGCGATGCAGCAAGCTCTCTCCCGGTAAATGCATTAACTTCTCAACTCTTATAGTTACTAGAAATTATCGCCAGTTATTGGAAAATCCGCATAGTCTATAATGTGAGGCAAATAAAAGTCATTTTCTTTGTAAATAAAAGTCAATTTTGAGAAGCATTTGGCTGTTATTTCACTTCCTTTTACTCTAGTGAACAATGTTTGTCTTATAGAATGAGCGGATTTTAAAAATACCGAGGTAAACACAGCATGCGTTGCGAAACAAACTTCCGAATGTTCGCAGAAGAGTGATCTAATGGTAGACCATAGTAGAATTTAATTAGTAGTAAGATTGTACTGCCAGAGTAATAGGGGAGAAATCTCGTTTATAGCTCTGTCGTGTTCTCAATCTGTGAAATCCTCTAGCCGTAGAAAAACTCTCGTCCACTGGGTTTTCTTTACTATGTGGTATGATTTTATCACGGTATATTGCAAGTCTGTAATTGGTTTTATTCATTAAACATATTTCCGGGGCACATAGCACGCAGTGGTACTGATCCATTCCTTGGCTGGACTATGTAGTCTACCCAGGCCGTGGTTCCATCCTGCGCTAGGAGCACCAAGCCTTTTATCTCTCCGGTATCGTAGACTTCTGTCAAGCAAGCCACCTTCCTATCCACGTGGGAATTCCATAGCACTACTACCTTAGGAGTCCAGAGCAATCGACTTGACCAGTAGTCAATGAAATTCGTAACGAAGAAGAAACAATCCTCAAGCAGTAGCCGAACCCACACGCAAAGAAAGTTCGCATACCTTTGTGGATGGTGTACGCGAAGAAACCAATCGAATGCATAAAATTCTTGGATTCGTAAAATGCGGTACACATGATTTCGGGTTGTGTAGTAATGAAAAATAAAATAAAGCCTCTTTTCTGTATACCGTCCTCTACACCTTTATTTCATATGTAGAATGTTTGTGATCTGAATTTAGAGTGATATGTACGTTTCGTTTCAGGTCACATTCGCCTATTATGCTGCATTCAATAGCCTTTTGGCGAAAATGGAGCTTATAAAACGAGTTTACGTAAGCCAGGCTAGAGGAAATGTGGATCTGGAAATGACGAAAGAAGAGTTCCTGCAAGCAACGCAGAGCTATGCCCAAATTACTCCATATGAGGTAAAGTGATCCAGTAAGCGAAATCACCAGGTACCCCACATTCTGCCACGATATCATAGTGGATAAATTTATAGGGCGAGTAAAGGAATGTTATAGGCATAGAATGTCATTTGGCGACTGTTGACTGGTGTTACTATCTCTATGCAATTAACTAAGTGCGCTATGAACAGAAGCAAATATTAAGCAACTTATTGATCAGATAGGTAGCCTTATCGTACCTTCTTAGGTGATCATTCATTCATGGAAAATCTTTTGTCAGAGCGGTCACTGATCATGTCTAGAAATCTTTTAATTTTATGTTTCTTTTTTCGTTGGCCGCATGTATAGCCTCCGCAACTTTATTTTACAAAATTTCTGCGTTACACTGAACTCTTCCTCTTCAGGTTGAAATCTTGTTCCATTTGTCGGAACTAGCTCATCCCGGGAAAAAGACACTGTCGCTGAAGGATATTATGCTAATTGATCCAGAACGTCTGAAGCGAGTGTCGTATGTTGAACGGCTTATCAACGTTAAGGCCGTAGCCAGCAAAGAGGAAAGGGGTGTGGGAACGGCGGTATGTTACTATTCCTACGTCTTAAATTCATAGCAAATTTGATAATGACAGATGACATGATAATTTTCCTTATAAAACAGCTGTTTTTCGGTTTCATTTGTAAGTTCCTCGTACCGCTTTTCTTCTGATGCACTCATTATTCACTCAACCGACTTTCTATTAACCAAGGCATTGATCAAATATTTCACTCGGCGCATTTCACCTTCCACGGTACCTGGAAAGGTCAAATTGATCGCAATCTACCAAGCCAAACATCTCGGTAACCAAACAGAGAAAACACTGAACCAAGATTTCAATCACATTTAGCCCAAAATAGCTTCTTCGCACACTCACCGCTTTCCATGAGTCTTCCACTGAGAATGTCGCATGGAAACCAACCGCACAGAATTCACATGGAAGCGTAATATGCCCCTCTCATCAGAATAACAGGCTTATATACTTCCCAGTACCACGCGTGATAATGAGGCATTCTTCCCTGCGGTTCGTTTTCGGATTTCTGGAATTGATCCAGAACGCCTCAAGAATTTTGCGCGCTTGTGTTTTCGATTCCTATGCCAGGATCGTAACTTCTGCTTCAAAATCTTCCCCATTATGCCTCTGTGCCCTACGCGCGTCTAGTGGAATATTGATTTTTATCTATTATTTGTTATTGTCGGTTATTTATTTTTTTATTACCTTTTTATTCAACTTTAAGTTCATCTGTTTACGGACTAGATGTTTCTTCATACGAACTCTACCCGTTCCACCAATGTATTCGTCCCCGCGCGGTTTACAAGAGATCAAGTAAACTGTACCCGAACTCGTGCAATCACCATCTCTACCATTAGGAAAAATTATGCAATTTTGCGTTGTACAGAGATTGTTATACAGGCGGTTGCGAATTAACTGGTGTCTTAGAGTGGTATTTCAATTACAGTTACCTAATTTTCTAGACCAGTCCTTCGTAGGTAACGTTTTACAGCGGTATTTATTTCGTTTGAGATGAAAGGCAGGATAGATGGGACCTTATTATCGGTAGAGTTTATCCCGAAGAACAATGGTTTCGTTTGCCGCGCATGTTTCCGGGATTCTTCTTTCTGTTCTCTTCCTGTACATACATTGCTGGCTCCTTGAAACATGTTTCTTACAAGCACCCTTTCCGTGTGAGAGTTTGAAAGGAGAGGTAATGAAGCAATATGCTCTTAATGCTTGGCTTTCGGTACCATTTCGTAGTATAGCCGTTTTCGGACAGGTTAATTTGAGGTTTCTGAAGTGGAACCCAGTTTTCTTTCGGTTTCTCTTGGGTAAACCTAATATACTCTGACTGTTCGTTCAACAACTCAAAACATTTGTCTATTTGCTGTTGTGTTGAACAAACGACAAAACAATCATCTATACATCTACAGTAGAGGAATGGCTGGGATCGGTTACTGGTGATTCCACCTTAGACATAAATCCAATGGCAAGGTTTGCTGCCAGTCGCTACCCCATTGATAACTCACTTGAGCGTAGTACTTTCCGAGCCATCTGAAGATTTAGCAGTTCAAGCATTCTTTCACGAGTGAAATCAAATACTGTGTCGTGAAGCGATACATGTTTATTGCTCTTTCGTGTTGTATAAGTTGTTCAAGGATAGCTTGCATAGCGGAGTCGTTCGACACGTTTGTATAAAGTGCGGCAACGTCGAGAGACTCGATCACGCACACGATGTTATGACGCGCGCTACGTAGCCGATCCAAAAACATCTGAGTATTCGTAAGATGGGCTGAAATGTGTTTCAACAGCTGGGTAAATATTAGGGTTAAAAATCACATTATTCTATTCGTTAGTCTGTCTACACTTCTAATGATAGGCGTAACCTTGAATAAAGTTGAATCGGTAGACACAAGATTATCGCCGGATACTAACTTACGAGTTCTGATAAGTATAAGACGGTATATGTTTGTAAATCAACTTTGAGTTGAGAGTCAACTGATGGTTTTAAACCAGGAGCCTTTGCCATTTGGAACCATTCGTGGTTCAATTTTAGACTTTTGAATTCCTTCTCAGACGATGGGCGATGAAGGGATGCTTCTTCAAGATTCTTTTTCGTTATCTCAACGTCTAACTGATGAGGAATTACTACAAACTCTCCACCCTCGTCGCTAATGGATAGTCTTTTTTTTCTTTTTCAACCTTATCAGCTCGTACCTCCCACATACCACCACGCTTTTGCACTTCAATGAGGTTAGAACGGTCTTTTCGCATGGTAATGATTAAGGATTTTGAAAATCGCGTTTAAATATCCGAGTCATGATATCGATTTCATTGTTGAGGTGTTGTTGATTGAACAATGGTTGATGAAATGGCGGTGCTGGTAATGCTTCTACTTCTTGTTGTTCGCTCCTATTTAGCGCTTCATCTCCAGCTTTCTTACGAAATCTTCCTTAAAGTTCATGTAAACTACATGCCATGCGCCTTACGCTAAGTTGCCGTAGAAATGGCTATAGATGGCGAGAAACTTGTGCCCAGTTTTAATAGCGAGCGCGTCCCTTCGAAGAGAGCCATGCCTTCTAGCACGGTTAGTCTTGAATTTTCTGACACGTTATTTATCGTACTGTGACTTGTTGGATCTTCGTTAGCGGTGTTTCTATACGCTCTTGAAGCCATGTTATGCGATTTACTCAAAAGGTCTTCGAATTTTCTCCGCATAGTTATTTGAGCATCAGAATTTATAGAGTTGCATACTCACACTTACCCACCCACTATTCTATTCCATATCCTCCAAATCTTCAAAATACTGAACACAACGATTTTCCTTCGCCTTGCACTTCTTCCACTAGACGAGCATCTGATCTTGTTTGCTTCTTGGACAGGTGCGTAGTATTCGCATTTCGATATCCAGTACTCGCTGGCTATCCTCTGGTAGTCCGCATACATTGTGTAGTCGTCTTCGTTTGATGAAGTTCAGAACGACTTGTTGTTGTAGGCAGCAGCAGAGAAAGTGTATTGTCTGTCGGCTAAGACGATCTTTTGTCTTAGTGACAGTACTTCTTTTACAACTCGGAAGTACCGTGCTAGCACGTTTTGCAGTATTTTCCACGACCGGCATTGTTTCTGTTAACCTCGGCATTGATCAAATATTTCGTTATGTTCTTGTTGAGCAAAGATGAGGTTTTATTTTATTCTTTATTCACAAACAAGCTGACGTTTCGGCGGATTTCGCCTTCCAAGAGGTCTGGTAAGGTAAAATTGACCGCAATCTACCTAGCCAAACACTGCCATAACCAAACAGAGAAAATGCTAAACCAGCATTTTAATCACATTGAATACAGAATAGCTTATTTGCACGTTTACCGCTTTTTATGAGTCTTCTAATGGATGTGTATGTCACCTAGAGGCCAACCATACAATGTCGACATGTAAGCGTAATGTGCCTCTCACATTAGAATAACAGTCTTAAATACTGTGCAGGAGTACGCGTAATTATGATACATTCCTCCCTGCGGTTCATTTTCGGATTCTTGGAACTCTTTATTATTCGTTGATTGGCTTGAAGACTTAGTTCTGAGGTCAATTGGAACTATTCATACGTAGTCAAAAAAGGAAAAATTCGTGTAATAAGGGGAACACTGTGACACATTTTATACAGCTTTTCTCAAAACTGTGAAATAAATTGTCTAAGTGGTCTTTTTATATTCATGGTGAGCACATGCAGGTGCTGGAATCCATGTACCGCTTTCTGCTAGGTTCGATAGCAGGAGCGTGTGGTGCAACTGCCGTCTACCCTATAGATCTCGTTAAAACACGCATGCAAAATCAACGAAGTGGTTCGTTCGTTGGCGAAGTGATGTACAAAAATAGTTTGGACTGCTTCAAAAAAGTCATAAAGTTTGAGGGTATGTAAAGTTATACTGAATTTGCTTGCTTTGTAGTATAAAAAAGAAAATGGTCTTGCAGTGATGTGTTATCAGACTTTTTGTCTTAGGTCTACTAGGACTGTACCGTGGTCTTCTTCCACAGATTGTTGGTGTTGCTCCGGAAAAAGCTATCAAGCTAACTATGAACGATTTTGTCAGAGACAAGTTCGTGAAGGACGGTAAAATTCCTCTATGGGCAGAAATCTTTGCTGGTGGTTGTGCTGGTGCAAGTCAGGTGAATGTGTATTACTTTAACTTCTGTTCTCCTATCTTCGTGTAATTGTACAGCTCTTTTCATTTTTAGAATTTATTTCTAAGTGATTAGGCCGTGGCTAGTTGTATTTTAGGTAGTATTTACGAATCCTCTAGAAATCGTCAAAATTCGCCTACAGGTTGCCGGTGAAATACAGTCAGCTAGTAGGGTTTGTTCTTCTTATCTACTTATATTCTTCAACAACATTTGTTGTAATACTTATTACTTATGTGTATGTGTTTTGTAGAGAGTCGTAACTTTTTGTGTAGCTAGTTATCATACCATCTCTTATAATTTCACCGACAGGTGGGCGTGATTACGGTGTTAAAAGAACTCGGATTTCTTGGTCTGTATAAAGGAGCCAGAGCCTGCTTTCTTCGTGATATTCCGTTTTCTGCTATTTACTTTCCAGCATATGCACATGCTAAATTGTCAACTGCTGACGAAGATGTAACATTTCTTTTTTGTTTCTTTTTATAATTTTTAAATTTATTTATGCCAGCGGTAAGTGATTTCTCATTCGTGTAGGGGATCAACCATCCTGGTTCACTGTTCGCTTCTGCATTTATTGCTGGTGTTCCTGCTGCAGCATTGGTGACTCCGGCTGACGTTATAAAGACGAGACTTCAGGTTGCAGCAAGAGCAGGCCAAACTACATATAATGGAGTAATTGGTGGGAGTAATTGGTGGCTTTCAAGTCATCTTGACATATGGATTCCGTATCCTTATCTGTTAATCTGCTAATCATGAGCTGGCCGTTTTACAGACTGTGCCCGGAAAATCATGAAAGAAGAAGGACCGTCTGCATTCTGGAAAGGAACAGCTGCTCGTGTTTGCCGTTCGAGTCCACAGTTTGCTGTAACACTACTTACTTACGAGGTTCCGTAATGTTTTTCTTTCTGTCTTAAACCTTACAGTGTTTATATGTTTTAGTTCACTGTAACATCTACAGTTATTCGAATATTAGATAGATGTGGTAATGTTTAGGTACTTCAAAGGATATTTTATGTCGATTTCGGAGGTACTCGGCCAACTGGGTCCGAGGTTTGTTTATTTTTCTTCACTTTCATCCGTTTAAAGAGCGCCAACTTATGGTGATTTCTTAAAAACAGATATCGCGGATAAATGGTAATCAGCAGTCCGTATGTTCGGTGGCAGGTTTAACAAAACATCTCATTTTTCATTGGTGGTCGTGTAGGGTGATGCTATGTCAGAGCGTCTTTTATCACTTCCCACAGCAGAGGTGCCCAAGTACTCAATACCGCCTATCTATTGATCTTGACATTGATTAATAAATCGATACTTTCTTACGGAATAGACAAGAGTTTGTTAAATACAAGATTCATTCACTAGTGGATAATGTTCTCCTTGTTACTGTTACTTTACAATAAGTAGGAGTCACTTATTTATCTGTACGTGCATAGTGAAGGCATCTTACGACCCTATTCATCAACAGCAGCCTCTTTGGGGCATTCTATCTGTGAAAGTGTCTGTAAAGGTATGACAGAGATTGTTTATGCTGCAGAACAAACAAATAAATAAAAGGAAGTGCAAGGCTCATACCAGCCAAAGTGCGTGGCATGAATCGACAACAAATCTTTTTAAGAAATTAGAAATTTGTTATCAAGTTTCATAATGGAACATTGTTATAGATTCTGAGCTTCTAGACAGCCCACGCATTTCGAAGTTATTTACCTGTCGTTTCTATTCCTTAATGCATTTTCACTTTTTTATTGACGTGAAGATCAGTGTTAATATTATGCTATTATATTTAGCACATATTACGTGCCATGTATTGAACACAATGCATTTGGCGCGGAAACAAGATTCACATTCGAATCCTAACCAAATATATCAGCTCGTGCTGAATATTGTGAATTGAAGTGAAAACAATTGAAATCAACACAACTTTGCCAGTAGTTTACAAGTTCTACCGTGCTAAGATAAAATCTTGATTTTCTGGAGTCCACGAAACTTTCCCTTTTGTGTTCCTTGCGTCGTTGGAGCTTCGTAGGCTGTGAAGCTAACTGTTCTAATGGTCGAGGAATTATCAATCGGCAGAAAAAATCACTTTCGGGCGTCATGTGTCAGTGTTGTGACAACTTTTACAGCACAAGTTTTTTTTTCAGTCGGCAACTACAAAGAAGATCATGGACGAGAGTTCACTGAATCCAGATCATGTTGGTGGATATCGTCTGGCGGCTGCAACCTTCAGTGGAATCGAACATAAGTTTGGTCTTTTCCTTCCACGATTCGAACCACAAAGATGAAGATATCGTATGTCGTCTTCTGGTTTTACTATGCAGTACTTGGTTGTATTTTTTTTAAACAGAGCTCTTTGTTTTATCTTTCTACCAGTATTTTCCACGTCAGAGGTTAGGAATCTTCATCTCTAGGGTATTAGTTTTACTTTTGAGAGGTCATGTGCCATTATACTTTACACTTTCCATGCAGCACCTTGTGAATTTCGATAATAGATGACCATGATTTTACTCACTCAAAGAAATGTTGCTTTATAGGAATTTAGTTACAGTACATGTTTTTAGGACCCAGTGATCTGCATATTTTGGTGTTTTATAATTTACATTTATAGTCTGCATGTTGTTTAGTAGGTATTCGAATTTTTTCTTGAGGCTCAGGTTGGCTAATTGTACGAAGAACGTCGTATGTAACGCTGCTGAGCATAACCCTTACGCGACGACGTGACCTCTATGGGAGTCATATGATGGGAAAATAATAGAAGCTTCCAACTTTACATCAACATATCTCAGCTTTTAGTGAATTTTGTTAATTGCAGTAAAGACGTTTAGAATCTGCAAATCATTGTTTAAGTGTTCAAAGTTCTCTTGTTTTACTACGGTAAAATTCCTGATTTTCCGGAGCTCATGCCTTAAATTTATAGGTACATATGTATTTTTCTTTCGCTTCAGGGCTCACATTTTGGACATGAAAGCAAATGAACAAACGGGATTTTGTTTCACGTGTTACCCATTGTATCGTTCACGTTTGCAAATGGCATTCTTAAGTTCGAATCTTTGAAACTTCTAAACTAAATTTCCGAATGCTTAAAAATCCTTGCTTTAGTCATATTTAAATTTCAAGGGGCACAATGAAAAACGTATATTTACGCTTACTGCGATAGAGCAAAGTCTGTTCTACGAATCTATAAGGTTCTGAACGCCTGAAATGCTTTAATAGTTAAGAAGTTATCGTCAGTTGTCGAAAAACCAACTTCGTCGCGAAAGGGTTGAATTATTGGTGCAGTATTCTTTTTTAGCAAGCTAGCTTAGGTAAGTCTTAGGATTTTTGAGTAATAGTTGAAGTAAGGGTGAATAAGTATGAATGGATTATCAATGTCGTTCTGGTAAAATGACCTCTCAATATGCGATGCCATTGTCGAGTTTTTCCCCTCTCATTACGAAGTACGATTGCAGATTATGTTGCCTTATTTCTCCTAAGGCCTTGATTAAGAAGTTGTGCTAATTTGTACGAGAGTAGGAATAAATCTTTCAAACCGTCATTCATCAGCATTCTTATTAAATACATTGTTATTCTATACAATATGTGTTGAATGTTTGGACTACAGTATGTACAAAAAGAGCGGATTTCATGAGAAATACTAGCGTAGGCTTAGTGGCGATAAATAGGAACGAAAAGGAAGTTATGTTACTCTCCGAATAAAGTGTTTTGCTACACAACGGAAGAACCCTATGAAAAGCAAGGCCATTGGATCACGTCTTAGAAATAAGTGAATGATACCGTACAGATACCGAAACTACCGGGCTCACTAGAGCAATTATTTAAAGTCGCAAATGCTAGTTAAACAAAGCGGAAGCTGTAAGCGAGAATGTCATAAAGATCAGAAATGTACAAAAGCATCTGAAAGTCTAGATCCAAGTAAAGTATTCGTTGTTAATGTAGTAAACAAGCGAAATTATATTGTAAAAAGCGAGCTATGTGTGACGCTTGTATTACGGTAATGTAGCTTTTAGGCGCTACTAATGTCCACTACCTTGACATAAAGTGAGGTAGCGATTGAAATGTTTCAGGAAATAAGAAAAAGGCACATATTTTTATGAAAATTAATCGATATAGGAAAGAAGATATGGTAAGATAGTGCTGTTCATTATGTTAGAGAAAATAGCTCTAAGTCGTCCTAACTCATGAAATAGGATTCAATGTAAAGTTCGATTTCACGTTCCTGGAATGGTTCTTATTAAATATTTAGTATATTTACGAATTGTACGGGTAATAATGGCCCTGCTCTCGTCCTAGTTTTAAGCAGTTTCTTCACTGTTACAACTCTTGAGCGGTTTCGTCTGAGCAGTAGATTTTCGAGGTTTCGATGTGCTCGTCGTCATGAGTAAATTCGTGTGTCGAATGTGAACGCTGTCAAATAAAATCGTTGAGAAAATAGCGGTGGTTCTTCGGCTTTCTTTTTTATGATTTAAAAAGGTTAAAATTCTTATATATCTGGGATATTTCCTTCATTGTTTCATTGTATGTGTAAAACCCTTTTAGTAATGTAGCTTTGGACAAATAGCAATCTCTGAGTTTACTAAGACAACAAAATCTATGAACGCTCGAAATCCAGAAAGCTATGATTGTAAGAAGTAGTGGAATGGGGTAAGCCCTTTAAGGTAATAAGGTAGTAGTGATGCCGATCATCTAAACAACCATGTGGTTCCATCTCGCACTGGGCTTAGCAATGCTGTCATCCCTCCCATGTCGGAAAATTGGTACCAGACTTGTCTGGGACAATGTATAACTTTTTATTTACTGCCAATAATTTTCTCATGGTAAAGTATTACGTGAAATACAATCACTGTGATGCTGAGATATTTGGAAGACTCAAACTCCATGGCAGATTCGAACCCGTTATTACCCTTTCCGTGGGCTCACGTATTACCCACTGCATCATCACTTTTGCTTTCCGTTTCTCTCAACAAATTTTTTACTCTTCTGGTTCCATCAGCAATCATTCATCAATGGGAATGATCTGGGGTGCCAATGAACCCAGTTAAACTGAGCTCGTAGTCGAAATCACAAAATATGGGTTTTATTTACTCCCCACTATTTTCCACAAAGGAGAATCGCGGATTCGAATCTGGCTTAGTGTCTGTGTTTTGCAAATATCTTAGCATCACTGTGGTTGTCTGAGAAAAGTTCACTCTCTGCAGTCCTGTGGAGACACTTTAGAACGGCTATCTCAGGGCTCCACGGAGAATCGTCTCGACTAGCACTCACCGACATTCATGACGGAGGAAAAAATCCTCAAATACCAGCCGAAGCCACATGCAGAAAGTTGAAAGCCTTCTTGGATAATAGATGTGGCGAAAAGAATCGAATGCAAGAGTTGGTGCGATCCTCACACAATGGATTTGAAAGATGGGTGGTTAAAAAAAGAGAATAAAAGAAAAGAATCCCTATGACCTGCATGCTATAGTATTACCACCAAGAATACTGAACGCTCTCAGAAATCCTAAGCGGTGGTTTTTCTCCACGCCTAAAATTCCCAGAACTCAGTTTTGAACCACTTTTTATCTCTCTAAACTGACCAATATAGATTTCTCGCGGAGCCTGCAATTGTTGATTGATCGATTACAACTACTACTGTTATGTTTTATAAAAATTATATACACCCTGAAGACGATAGACCAATGCGTCTTTTATAAGTCCATCGAGTCCCAAATTCCTCAACCGCTCTAATTTTCAACTATCAGTATCTACCAAAAAAACACATCATCGTCTGCTATGTGCCAATAGGATAGAGATGACATGTACAGTTTTAATTCTTACTTTTTACATTCTTTCTTGTGTATGGGTAATCCCATCAGATGAAGAGCGAAAAGTTGGGACGAAAATCGTATCCACCCACCATCGGACTGTCCCATTCAATATCCGACTCGTCTTCGCTAGTGTTTGGGTCAATCATAATCGCAACGACAATTATACCTGCAATTATGTTCTTTTGCTGAATTCTTATGGTTCAAAAATTGCTTAGTGTAACTGCCACGACCGACTTTCTATTAACCTCGGCATTGATCAAGTAATTCTTCGTATTCTTGTTGAGCAAACACGAGGTGTTATTTTTATTCTTTATTCATGAATAAGCTGACGTTTCCGCGGATTTCGCCTTCCCCAGAGCCTGGAAAGGTCAAATTGACAGCAATCTACTCGGCCAGACGCCTCCATAACCAAACAAAGAAACTCTAAACCAAGATTTCAAACGCATTGAACACAGCTTTGCACACTCACCGCTTCCTATGAGGCTTCCACTAAGTATGTCGCGTGAAGACCAGCCGCACAGAAATCACATGGAATCATAACGTGCCCCTCCCATCGGAATAACAGGCTTATATACTGCCCTATATCACGCGTGATAATGAGGCATTCTTCCCTGCGGTTCATTTTCGGATTTCTGGAATTAATCCAGAGTGCCTCGAGAGTTTTTCGCGCCTGTGTTCTTGATTC